GTGGGGAGCCCCTGGCGCCTGGAGCAGATGCGGCTGCTGGAGCTGCCCGATGTGTTCACCACCGAGGAGGGGGCTGGCTGGATCCGTGCTGTGGATGTCACTGAGATCCGCTGCGATACCCTCGTCAGCTGGAACACGCTGCACCCTACCATTGCCATCCTCCCTACCGGCAGGCCTGTGAAGGTCACCCACCCCAACATCCACCCCATTCCCTACTCTGATCACTCGTCCTTTTCAGAGCTGTGCGAGTTTGTGAAGTGGCTGAAACCTTGCTCGGTCATTCCAATTGTGAGGGGTGGCATGTGCCAGGCTTACTTTCAGAAATACCTAAGTTCTGCCCCCCAGGCACTTCCTGACCTCAAAATCTCAAAGCCTATGCAAGAGTCTGTACAGCAGCAAAGCAAAAGGAAGAAGCAGGAACCCATGTTTCCCTCGAAAAGAGCTGCCCGGCATTCTGTGCCCCAAGGAGTTGTTTATGAGACCCCAGAAGAACATACTGAGAAATCTGAAGAGTTCACGGGTGTTAAGCAGAACTGCTGTGAGTCAGCTTTCTGCTCGAAAGAAGGCTGCACTGGTTGCCACGCAGCCGAGGAGAAAGAGAAGGAAGGGCTGAGCGGAGACCAGCCAGGAGTAGCAAGAGCAGCTAGCACTGTTAGCCAGGCACCCGTTTCCGATGAGCACTTTCCAACAGGATTTGCAGAACAGTATTTACTCACTCCCTTAAATGTTCTAAAGCAGAATTCCCCACAGAAGTTTGACAAGCTGGTAAAAGACTTCTTTAAGAGGGGAGAAACATCCTGAAAACTTGTGTGGCCCCGGCCAGTGCCAATGCAGTTGATAGCAGTGATTCTAGAGGTCTCATTGCTGCTTCCCGTCAGAAGAGAGGAGCTCAGCTATGGGGCTCTAATTCCTTTACCTCTTATTAGAGGACAAGGAGAAAACTAGAACCAATTTGTAGGTGTTAAATTTTAAAAATTTATTTATTTTTATATCTCTGCATCTGCTGGGTCTCCACACTATGCTCAGGCAGTGCGGTCCCACTGTGTCTGTGCCTTCTATCTACTTTTCGCAGTGACGCCTCTCTCTTGTGACAAAAGGTACAGCCAGGTCAACTCAAGTTGAGCTGCAGAGGGTGTGAGCTGCCTGCAGCTGAAGTAATTAATGGGGTGGATGAGATAAAAGAAGGAAGAAGGGGGAATCTGAGTGCCCCAAAGGTTCTTTCTATGCGTAACACCTCATGTGCGGTTCATTCCAAGATGCATTACAAATATTTTGTATTGCGGTACATTTAAAGAATGGTACTCTGTATCCAGCCAACTGCAGCTGGATGCCGTTCTGCTTTCCTGAAAGCACTATCTTAATGCTAACTGTTAATGCTTTTTCAGGTTACTGCCTGGAAAAAAATAAGATTTGTCTGGGTTCTTGAGTTCTGGACTTTCCAGAATGGGTTACTAGATCCTCCGCAGTCTCTGCACTCAAGTCTGCAAGTCTGAATTCTGCTTGACTGCAAAGCACTTCTGGTTACTGACGGCGTTCTGCTGGGCCCCCTGCCTTCCCATCCACTGCCTGTTCTTATCACGCAATGGCAAATGGGATGGAAGATAACGAACCATCTGCTTACTGGCATAAAGTGCTCAGTCTTAGCAGCGTTGTTTGGAAGGAATACCGTGGCTGAACAGCGAAATTGGCTCTGTTAGTTAGAGATCAGGCACTTTCCTGCTCCAGGTGAAGTGGAGAGAGCCCCAGCCTGGCCGGCACAGTCGGAGCCCGGAAACGCTGTAGTTATCCATGCCAAACTGCACTAGCAGCATTACAAATTGGCTCCCTAAGGGGTCAAGGCACAACACTAGTGGAAACAGTCACTAGGCACTTTGCTGAAACAACAAACCAGCTTGTTGTTCAGCTTTTTCTAGCCTCTTTTTTGTTACTTTCAACACAAAATGTTTCATGTGATCTTGATCAGGATCAGAGTCTCTTCTGAATGTAGTGTCCTGCAAGGTCTCCAAGACCAGGCAGATAGGTGGATTGAATTCCCTAAATCAAGCCAGAGAAGGAAGCATTTGCTCTTTGAGTAAAGCTAGGGCTCGTGGAAAGCAAAGATGCCTGTACATGCAGCAGCCACACCTGTGAAAAACAAGGCTGTCCTGAACAGTAATCACTATGACAGAGCGGGTATGTTTGGGAAGCTGTTCGGGAGAGCTAGGGCTCCTGTTTGCCAACCCCATGCCTTCCCCGGCTCTGCACCAGTCATCGCTCCAATGTAGGCAGTGCCTTTCGCGGGGACTGCCTGTTGATGGCGCCTGCCAGCTGCTATGGGGACGTTGGATGTGATGGAGCAGTGTTCTGTGGAATTCACTTCAAAAGGGGTAACAAGGGCGGCTCAGGCTTCTTGCTGTGGTCTGTATGGTCCTTTTGGAGGTTTCTGTATGGATTCCTGGCTAATCAAAACTCGACTGCAGAGCCGCATCAGGTCAGTGTGAGCGGAGACACCTGCATTTTCTGTAACATCTGAGACTGCCAGGGAAACGACTGTGCTGTGCTTGTCGTGTTCATCTGCTGCTGGCTGCCTTGGAGATGCAGGCTGTTATTTTAACACTGTTGAAATTTAAGTGACTCATTTGACAGGCAGGTGAGGGAGGCACTGCCTGAACTCCCAGATTCCACGTCCGGCGCGCAGCCTCTCCATTGCTCAGAAGGAATGCTTGCCTTCTGAGTCACTGCTCCATTTAGGTATGTTGCAAACGACCCCGGAGATCTGATGCGTTCCACTGCTGATGTTTTGTGGCATCCTGTCTTTCCTCCTTTATTCTTATCAACCATTCTTATCATTTATTCAGGCAAATTAAGCAGAGAACCTCCTGGTGAACCTCTGGGCAAAATGGAGTTGTAAATGATATTTCTTTACAGAGGCAACTCTGATCACACAAAAAGAAGGGCAAATTGCAGAGGCTTCAGAAGCTGGGAATCTGCACCGCATTTCTGAACACGTGGTTAAAACTGCAGAAGAAATGCTGACTTCTGTTACTAGAGCTCAAAAGGTAATTCCTGCCACTTCAGAAAGAAATTCTCCAAATTACGTAGAGCCAAGGAAATCTAAAATCTCCCCATGGTTTTAAAAGGCAGTAGAAGCAGGAGAGACTTGACCAACAGTCAGCATGCTGGAGATCCTTGCCTCAGCACAGCAGGTGCATGAGCTGTTTGAGTGCCCCCGGTTTTTGTGTGTTACCCTAAAATCCTGGAAAACAAAACATGGCCTTGTGGGGAAAACTGGTTGTATAGTGTTGCTGAGCTCCAAGGTTTCTGAGAATCCTTCAGCCTCCCCAAAAGTCTCCTGGCAGTAAATAGCTGGCCTCTACAAGGCCTTGTTCTTCCTCATGCCTGCCTCCAAAATTTCCCTCTTCCCCTAGCACCAGCCTAGCTCACAAGGGAGTGCTAGTGCAGCCACGAGCTGGAGCATCACGTACGCCAGGGGCTGAATGTGCTGCTTCCAGCTCAGCTGCACAGGGCTCTGCCAACACTACTACCTGGTGTGTTTTGCTCACAACAGCGACTGAGAAGCTATAGCCAAGTGTTAGCTTGACTGTGGGGTATCAAAGAGCCGCATGCTTGGAAACTTACAGTTATCCCAGCGGGGGGGGAAAGGTGCTCAGACCAAAGCCCTCCCAAATCTATACGTGCAGAGCATGCCTGAGCTGCTTATCTCTGTTCCGCAGTTGGGAACCAAGCCCCAGTGGGATGAAACATCTCGCCCAAGGCTTACTGAGCCTACAGAAGAGCTAGGACTGAGCTGAGTTCCTTTTGGCAAGATAGAAAATCATGAAGGGGTACACTGCCTGTGCTATGGAGAGAAGGAAATGTACTCTTTAGGTTGCTACCAAGGTAAAACTTAATTAGCTCGTACGCCCCACAGCAGACGAGTGTATAGTATAGCTTTGCAGGGAACACCCTAGAGCACTCGGCTCAGTGGCGTTTCTAACTCTGCCTCCCATACTGCGAGACTAGAGCACTTACAGCAGCTTCGCTCTCCTCTCCTGCAGCGTTGTCTGTTTCTGCAGTGCAGGTTGGTTTATTGTTATTTTTGAGATAGAAAGAAGTGTGTAATGGGGAAACATTTTCTTCTTCGCCAAGAAAACTAATTCAGCGAGTTTACATAATTTCCTGTAGGTTGTATTGTAGCTTTGGGCTTACTCCAGATTAACCTCAAGCTTAAAATCTGGTTTGCAGCCCCCAAGCCCTCCATGCAGGGCCAAGACCTTCCTCTAGCGGATAGTATGGAGGGTTGAGCTGCTTAGTGGTATTTTGCTAGAGAAAGAAGGTGGAAAATGCAATTTCTTGAATCTTCAGCACACACACGCGTATTACTTGTAGGATTTTACACAGAAGCGGTACTGTTCCCTTCTCTGCTGGCAGCTTGTTGTCTCACTGTCCATTGCAATGTTATTTAGTGCACCAAATCACGGCTGCGGTTGGAGTTGCCCAGCGCGCTCTCACGGAAAAAAGTTGCACTTAAGTTTCTGTAAAGCAGAAAATCTCCTCAATAGATGCCGAGCTTTCTCCCTCCCCGGGGGACCTGATGGTGGCCCCGAGGATGGTTTAGAAAGCCGCTTGTGTCATAGCAAATGCCAAGATGAAGGCTCTGTCGGCGTGCGCCCCCAGATCTGAATTTTAGCGTGTGTCTGTGTGAGCTCTCCCACCTGTCCGAGGCGGGGCGCTGTGCTGACTGGTGGGGGCCTTGGCTGGAGAGGTCGGGACCGTCCGGAGGCCGTGGTGGCGAAGGGGATGCCATGGAGGGTCCCCAGCGGTGTTTTCTTTCCTGGTGCTTATGTCACTTTCAGTGGTCTTGGGGGCCAATTTCCTGTGTTTCAGTAATGATTCTGTCCTTAGGTTTTTGTGCGTAGCAGATAGTACTCGGTACTTTTTAAAGATGAACATGCGACCATCCCCGACCAGTGCACTCTTTGCTTAGTGCTAGAACTCGGCGCTTTTTGTCTGAGGACCGAGACCCGTCACACGCTCAGGGACGTTATGATATTAAACGTGCTCTGACATTCAGGGATGTGTAGGCATGTTTTTGCCAACTCAGCATTGTTGCTTCAGCCTTGAGTTGCTGTGACCCGTTAACGAATGCTCTGGAGCTACAGGACTGGGTTTCCAACAGCCTCAAAAAGCCCAACGTGAGGCGGTGCGGTGGCTTTTGCGGGGCTGGAATAGTCTCTTTCACCTTATTCCTGTCTTTGCCTGCAATGATCTACCTGTAGCAAAGGGTGGGTTGTGAGAGCAAGGTATTTCGATTTTGGGGGTTTTATTGCACTTTTTTTCCCACCAGTCTTCATCTCCACCTGGATGCAAGCTGCTAGCCTTGATTGTGTTCGTTAAAAGGTGTGAGTTCATGTGTGTTGCGCTGCTATTTGTGTAAATGTGAAGCTGTGAAAGTTTCTGAGATTTTGGTGTATTTGTAAACATTTTTAAATCGTGTAAACTTTTGAAAGAAA